ACAAACTATACAAAAAATAGTTTTGAACAGATTTATAATCCAAAATGAAGATAAAACCAGTCTAATGACAGAACCTAAGGTTGTTTTAGATAACTTAGCAAAACATTTTGAAAATCAATTCAGAAAGCAAAGAACCAAACTAAAAAAGATGTCTGAGAAATAGATAAAAGTATACAACTCAAAAGAGTAGATTAAAGAGTCCTAGTATGAAAAGTTGAAAAAAAAGCTAGAAGAAGAGGAATGAGAAGATATATTAAAAGAACTCAAAGCCAATACAGCTCCAAGAATTTTAGGCATAAGCTACACTTTAATAAAACAAGCAGAAAAGAAATTATAGAAGATCTTTAGAACCTTTACAAATCTGGTTTTAGAAACAGAAGAAATGCCAAAAAAGTAAAAAATAGCACAAGTTTATTTAATCTCAAAAGATGTAGACTGTAAATATAATCTGAACAATATTAGACTAATAGCATTAATTGAAACCTTTAGAAAGTTAGTCACAAAGGTGATAACAAGAAGACTAGCCAAGATATTTACAGAAAGAGAAATACTCAAAAGACTAAATTATGCAGGCTTGCCTGACAACTCAACAGAGCAACTAATACATATCCTAAATATGATAATAGAAAAAGTATAAGAAAAAAATAAAAAAACATAAATACTTCTGCAAGATATAAAGAAGGCATTTGACTTAGTTCTATTAGAAAGCTTGGAATAGACTCTTAGAAGAGTCAAAGTACTACAAAGAACAATTAAATATATTATCAATCTCTTTTGTAAACATCAACTTAAAGTGATTATAGCTTATGGTCTAACAGAAGAAATAACAGCAGAAGATAGTATGGATCAAAGAAGAGATGATTTCTCTACTTGTCTAGTAGCTTTTCTATGATTCACTATTGAAAAAAATTTAAAAAAATAAATCACTAGACTATGTAGTAGAGCAAGAAACACTAAAAAATACAGACATTAATTGTTTTACAAAATATAGGCAAGCAGTAATTGCTTATGCAGATAATACTACATGGATCACAAATAGCAAAGACTAACTGCTAAGAATTTTTGAAATTGCAAAGGAGTTCTTTAAAGTGAATGACATTGAAATAAATAGAGCAAAGTCAAAGTTTATAGTAATAAATTCTAGACTGAGAAAAGAAAATAGAAGAATTATATTCAGACAAAGTAGAATAACAGAAGAACCAAAAAACAAAATTATAAGATCTTTAGAAATTTGGCTAAATAGCAGAATAAGAGAGTCACTAGTCTGCAAAAAAGCAAAGGAAATAATTAGCCAAACAGTTAAAGATTATTATATCTTTATCAATACTAATCATGATCATTGCTACAAATATATTACAACTCAATTTGAAAACTCAGACCATCTGCTAGTAGAATGTAAGCTCCATTTAGTTTCTACTTCAACTAAAATCAAACAGTGGAGATTTGACAAAAGCAGTTGAAACAACCCATTACTTAGAGCAGAAATAATTGAAGAAGCTTAAAGCATTGTTGACTTTTCTAAGTTGGATCTACATAAATGCAAAATACAGTCAATTGCAAGAGCATTCAGACCTTAACTATCATCAGAAAAGAAAATTCAAAGACTTCAAAGAAAACTAACTAAAATCAACAATAAAATTGCTAAAAGAGAAAGGTTAGCAGAGCTACTTGCAGCTTGCAATAGTATTAACACTCAACTACAAGATGAAATTCAAGATCTGTCAAACAAATAGCAAACTAAGTCAAACACCAAATAGATAGAAGAAGGAGAAAAATCTACTAGGTTTTTTTATTTACTTTACAAAATTAGAAATAGCATATCAGTTAAAGACAAAGTTTAAATTCCTAAAAGTAACCAAGCCCAGGGCTCCTCCGATGTTCTGTATTACATAAAAGAAGTTTATTAAGATATATACAAAGCAAAAGAAGTAAACAAAGAGGCAATAGACTTCTTTACACAAAACCTATTATCAGTAACAATGTTATATAACCAGGCTCTAACTAAAGACATCTCAGAAAAAGAAGTTAATTCTATAATTAACCAGCTTCCAAACAACAAAGCACCAGAGTCAAATGGTCTTAATTATGAATTCTACAAAGGAATTAAAGATGAAATTCTCTCAGTAATAGTTAAATTGTTCAATTACTGCCTGAATTCAGGCATAATATCAAGGTTCTGGGCCAAAAGCATTATAACTTTAATATCCAAAAAATTAGACAATCTCTCTGATCTCAACAATTGGAAACCAATCTCACTTACAAACTGTAACAACAAATATTTATGAAGGTCCTAGTCAACAAAGTTAATCTTATTTGCAAAAAAATGATTGGTCTAGTACAGCAAACTTTTATAAAAAGAAGATCAATTATTAATGCAGCACTAGACATTATTACAACAATGAGAAATCAAAATAACCAGACTCTTCCATATTGGCTACTGCTGCTAGATTAGCAAAAGGCATTTAACAGAATTAGTTATGAATTTATAATGCAAGTGTTAAATAGCATGGGTTCTGATTACAAGTTTATAAGAATTATCAGATCCATTCTTGGTTTACAGACAGCTCACATCTCAGATGCAAACTATAGATCAGAGTCAATAAAAGTAGAAAGTAGAGTATGACAAGAGGTCCCTCTTTTACCTCTTTTATATATTATAGCCTTAAACTCTCTAATTCTAAAAATTCAAGAAGAACTAAAGGACATACAAATTTTCAAACATCAATTTAAAGCAGCAACATATGCTAATGACTTGACAATAAGAATTGGTTTTCAACAGAATTAGAAAAAGCTATTGATAATTCTCCAAAAATTTGAAGTAGCAGCTAATACTAAAATTAACTTCCAAAAGTCTATTCTTGTCCCAATAACATCAAGACTTTTTCAAAACTACAAATAAAAGCAGCCAGCTAAGAATTCTAGGATTTGAAGTTAATATTAGAGAAGATCTGCAAAAACAAGTTTAGGATACAATAACTCAAAATATCAAAACCAAAATAAAAAAATCTTAATCAGAAACCTGTTCTTCAAAGAAAAGATCCTTTTGTCTAAATTATTACTCATCTTTAAAATATAGTATATGGCATATTTATTACCACCTAACAGAAAACAGCTAGACAAAATTAACATACTAGTCTTAGACTAGATTAAAAACAAGTCTAAACTGTTACCAAAATACTCAACATTTTAGCTAAATTATGACAAAGGAGAACTAGATGCTTCTGTACTTAAAGACATCTTAGATTCTAGGCTTGGCTCAATCTAGGTTAAGTTAATTTCAACAAACAGTTTATGGGCTAATATTAAAAGAACATTAATTTCACAAAGCCTTCAGACTAAAAGAAATTTTACTGCATTAGTGGCTCTCACTAAAACATCAATAAAGCTTAAGAGATGGTCAGATCACTGAAAGCCATACCTAACAGCATGAAAGAGACTTAAAGAAACTACCATATAGTTCCAAAATTAAGCATCTTTTTTTTGTTATAGGAGGTGCTTAATTTGGATAATTTTTTTTTTATTGCAATAAACTTTATAATATGATGTAATCAATATAAATAAATATAATAACAAAATAGAAAATAAAAATTCTTAATATTGTTACATATTATGTCACTATGAAACAAATATAGAAATAAAGTTGCCCAAAAAAAGAAAGTCATTAAACATAAATGTAATTCATATTCTATTGATTAAAAGAAAAAAGTTATTGCCTATGCTAAAAAAAATGATAAAAATAAAGTTACAGTAATTTTTAAGCTTGATTGTAATATGGTTGGTCATTGGATTAATGCAAGTAGGCTATGGAAACTGATATTAGGCAAAATGTCAAATGAGTTGGCTTTGGTCAAAAGGAATTTTATCCTAAGGCAGAAAAAAAGCCATACAAGTAGATTATTGAACAGTGAAAACAAGGATTAGGTGTGTCTTGTGAACTTGCCTGAATTAAAATGCTTAATATTTTAAAGGAACCTGATATGATAATTCTATATGGCAATTCAACAGAAGATTTTAAAACATCAAATTGTTGGATGTTTGCATTTATGAAAAGATACCAACTGTCTTGGTAATGCTATACTAAGGTTTTACAAAAGCTTTCTTTAGAAACTAACAAATTATTGAAGAAATTTCATCAATTTGTTATCCATCTCAGAAAAAGAAAATCTTTTAAATTATCTAATATTCTAAAATAGATAAGACCTCTGTCTGGTTCAACATGATTAGAAACTTTACTATTGATCATAAAGGTGAAAAAACAATTCATATTTGTAGAACCAACAATAACAAAAATCGATTTATAGTAGTTTTAACATGTGCTGCAGGTAGAATTTTTTTATAATATTTGTGTGGTTACTCTTTTTTTTTTAATAATATTATTCATGTGGTTATTATATATATATATTATTTAGATAGAACAAAGTTTTCTCCAATTTGTATTTTCAAAGGTAAACAATTACCATATAGTGAAAAAATTTCATCTGGTGTTATTGCTTGGTTTCAAAATAATGGATGAATGAATTCTGACTTGATGATATAATACATTGATTATATTACTGACATACAAACTAATTATAAATGTGAGGATCCAATAATAATGGTATATGATTCTTTTAAAGAATATTTAAAAGATTCGCTTAAAGAGAAATTTCATGACAGTAGTATTAATTTAGCAGTTATTCTGGGTAGTTTGACCAGTATTTGTCAACCACTTGATGTTGCAATTAATAAACCATTTAAGGACAATCTTCATAAAGAATGGCATCTTTTGATAACAAAAGGTGATGCCCAAAAAACTGCAACTAGAAACTTTAGACATACTAGAATAAGTAATGTATATGAGTAGATAAAAAATTTCTAGGAACAAATACCAGATAATGTTATTATTAAATCCTTTATAAAATGTGGTATCTCAAATGATTTAAATAAAAATGATAATGTTGATAGTGGCAGATTAGAGGATCCCAGAAATAAATACAAGAATGACAATATTGAAATCATAGATATTAGTAAAGATGATGAAATTATAGATATTGATGAGGATGATGAAATCATAGATATTGATGATGATTATGAAATTATAGATATTATGAATATTAGCAATGATGATATAGAAATGATGGAGATTAGTAATGATAATGAAGTTATGAACATTTGCAATAATATTAAAATTATGGATATTAGTGATAATTAGTTCATTTGTTATAATTATGACATTAAAGTTGTATAACATAGTTGTATAATTTAATTAGTTGATATTGAATAATTTAAATAAATAAATATATTAAATATATCAATGCAAAGTCAGAAATGCAAAACCAATATAAAAACATAGGAGTGCTTATTTTTAGATATTTTACACAATTTGGTGATGCTTAATTTCGGGGAGTACTTAATTTTGGAACTATATGGTATTTTAGTAACTGTCAACTGGCCATGGAATGTTTCACAACTAAAAGTTAGAAAAAGTACAGAAAACCAGTTTACAGTACAAAGAGCTACTAAATTCCTCAAACAATATTTAATAAAGCCTACTATTTTACAAGTATTATCAAGCCTTCAAAATGGCACTAAAAAGACTTCTAGTTGGTTTTAGTACAAAGGCATACTTAACAAGAAGAAGGATATCTTTTGGAAACTTCAAAATAATGCATTGCCATTGAAATATCACCTTATGCACTTTAACAAAGAGATAAATAGAAACTGTCTAAATTGTGTAGATAAAAAACAAACTCCAAGTTACTTTGCTATAAATTGTAAAATAAGTCAAGCATTTTGAAAAGAAAGTCACAACATTCTTCAAACTGAAGCAGAAGGAAAGTGCCTACAATCTTTAGAAGAAATACTAATAGCATCAAATATAAAAAACCAAAAAAAAAGAAAAGCAGCACTATGGCTTCATATTACAATAATATATAAAATCTGACTATGATATATTTAAGTCAGATGGAGAAATAATATTATATTAGAAGAAGCTATAAAGAATATTTTAAAAGCAAAAATTCAAAAAAGTTTAAAAGTATTATACAATACCTCTAAAAGTAAGGTAAAAGCCAAAATGGTCAAGTTCTTAAAACTAAAAAACTTTAAATAGATTAACTAAATAGTTTGTTAATAATGTATTTTTAATATACTAAATAAAGTATGCTATTTCATGTTTTTTTTTTAAAAAAAAAGCTGACCTTTATCAAAAATAATAATACAAAAAATACATAAAAGAATTTGTAGCTTAAATAACAAAATAGCAAAAAACTCTAATCTGAAAGAGCTCTAGCTGGTTATTGAAGGCCTAAATGTAGAGCTTCAGAAAGAGCTAACTACAATGTTAGACAAATGGTGAGTGAGATCTAATGCAAAATGGATAGAAAAAGAAGAAAAATTAACAAAATACTTCTACTCATTATACAAAATCAAGCATTCAACAAACTGCAGCTTCAAAATTAAAAACCCAAATAGTCCAAATAAAACCTTACAAACAAAACCATAAACTTCATCAAGGAGTTCTATTAGAAATTATACAAAAGTGAAGAAATCAATAAAGAAGCTGCAAAACAAATCACAAACAACTTAACAAAGATTACATTACAGCAAAATAAACTATTAGAAAAACAAATAACAAAAGAAGAAATTAGTTAAATAATAAATAATTTTTCAAATAATAAGGGTTCAGAAACTGATAGCCTAATATATAAATTCTACAAAGATATATAAAAGTCTTATTATACTAATTTTCAAAAAATCAGATGACTCTTCTAATATAAACAACTAGAGGCCTATATCATTAGTAAACTCAGATGCCAAAATCTTTATAAAGCTTCTCGTAAATTGAATCAATCCTATATGCAATAAAATTATTAGCCCAGATAGCAGGCCTTTATTGCCAATAGATCTATCACAGATGCAGTACTGGATGTGCTAATAATACTAAGAAATCAAAATGACTAATCAAAGCAATACTGACTGCTACTGTTGAACTAGCAAAAAGCCTTTGATAAAGTTAGCTATTACTTTCTACAGATTATACTTAACAAAATGAACTTTGGACAAAAATTCATTAAGATGATAAGCTCACTTTTTATGAGCCAAAGTGTACATATAGTTGACTCAGGCTATACCTCAGAACCTTTTAAAGTAGAAAGAGGAGTTAGACAGAGTAATCTACTCTCACTACTACTCTATATCCTAGCTATTAACCCACTTATTAGTACAATTAACAGAGATATTAAGGGAATCCCAGTTAATAATACAAGATTCAAAATTACAGCATATGCAGATGATATTTTTTTAGGAATTAAATCTCTATTAGACTGGACTAGAACTTTAGAAATCTTATACAAATATGAGAAAGCCTTAAACACTAAAATTAACAAGATCAAATCAATCTTAGTACTTATCACATCTAATGCTAAAAGAGTTGAACTCTTAGATCAATCAGAATTTAAAACACTTGATGATGATCAAAGCTTTATAACAATACTAGACTACAACATTGACATAAAAAGAAACTCAGAAAAGTCTACTTGAAAAAGCCTTACAAAGAAAATCAAAGATAAAATTAACAAACTTTTACAAAAGAATCTCTCTTTTAAGAGAAGGATTTTAGCAGCCAAAACTCTACTTATCTTAACAAGAAAGCAGCTAAATAAAATTAACCAATTACTAATAAACTGAATAAAAAGAAACTCCAGAATGCTATCTTAATATTCAATATTTCAGTTCAGCTATGAGCAAGGTGGGCTTACTGCACCTATTCTAAAAAATATGCTAGATGCCAGACTACTCTTAACATAGCTTAAACTTCTATCAAATAATACTCTTTTGGCTACTGTAGAGAGAGATACCATAACTTTAGATCTTTATAACAAAAGAAACGTTTTAGTTTTGAATATACTAACACAAATACTACTCAAAACTAAAGGCTGAACCAATAGATAGAAGCCCTATTTAAACACATGAAAAAGATTTAAAGAAAAATAGAAACTAATAGTATCTGACTATAACAATTAGAGGAAATCAAAATAGAAAACATATTAGGCAACCAATACAAGGTTAAAGAAGCTTTGAAAAGTCTTAACACCTTAATAAACCTCAAAGAAAGCCAATTTGAATGGTTAAACATAAAAGGAGTTCTTAACAAAAAAAAAGATATAATGTGGTGTCTTGCTCATTGTGCACTTCTCTTAGATTATCAGCTTATACATGTTAGTCAAAACAATTTGGAAGATTGCCCTAACTGCCTACATACACTCAATCACTAGAACACTTTGCCTTAAAGTGTCCTCTTAATAAGAAAATATGGGAAACAATTTACAAATTTCTCAAATATGCAGCTAAACCTACTTCTTTTACAATAGATAATATTCTTCATATTACTAACATATCTTCAGCTTATAAAAAAAAAGCAGCCATCTGAATCCATATAAACACTTTATACAAAATATGGTGTTAGTACACTCAAGCAAGATAGGGCAGCAAAACTATACCTATAAAAACAATAATCAACATAGTAAAACTTAAAATAAAGCATGAAATCAACTTATTACATACACTTGTAGTTAGAAAATTACTAACTAGAAATAGAGAATTAGATTCTATTCTAATATTCATAAACCAATCTTCACAAAATATATAGCCCTATAATAATTGAATAATTACAAATAAAATGTACACTTAGATGTGTTTTTAATATAAAAAAAAAGTCTAATTGGCTAAATGTATTTTATTGATTTCTTCTTGAATCTTGAGTATAAGTGAGTTAAGGACCAAAATGTATAGCAAAGGAGAAAGTGGGTTTTCTTATCATACTTCTCTTTTTACCCTTATAGGTTCTGAAATAAGGTTTGCATCTGTTAAGTGTATAGTTTGTGAATTGAAAAGAAGTTTAATGATTCTGGGGTGTGGCGACCTAGTGAAGTGGATAGGTTGTCAACCCCCAAGTGGCAGGTCTAGAGTTCAAATCCCAGTGATG